GGCAACCTATGGGTTTCTCATAATTCGCGGGGCGGCTGCGACTGCTGCGGCTTCGCGGTTGCGGTTGCGCGGTTGCGCGGTTGCGCGGTTGCGACTGCGCTGCTTATGGGAAGCCCATAAGTTGTCATACTTCCTAAGGGAATCTGGCGACCTATGGGTTTGCCATAAGTCCCCCGCCGAATTATGAGAAACCCATATGTCGCCAGATTCACTGGGGGATTCTGGCGACCAATGGGATTCTCATAATTCGCCTAATTCTCCCAACCGAATCATGGCGCACCCATAAATCGCCAGACTCCCTATGGGATTCTGGCGACATATAGGCTTCTCATAACTCTTCCAGCCGTTCCGTGGGATACCCATAGGTCGCCCGATCCCCTAAGGGATTCTGGCGACCTGTGGGTTCCCCCTAGTTCTCCCAACCGAAATATGGGCAACCCATGGGTCGCAAGATTCTCTCGGGGATTCTGGCGATCTTTGGGTTTCCCATAATTCTCTCAGCCGAATTATGGGAAGCACAGCCAGGTCACAAGAATTATGGGAAGCCATAGGTTGCCCAGTCGAATTATGGGAAGCCCATAGGTCGCCAGAATCCCTGGCCACCTATGGGTTTCCCATAGCCCCCCCCAGCCGCATCATGAGACATCGATGGGTCGCCAGAATCCCCGAGGGGATTTTGGCTACATTTGGGTGTCCCATAATCCTCCCAGCCGACTTATGGGAAACCCACAGGTCGCCATATTCTCTCGTGGATTCAGACGATTTATGTGTTTCCCATCATTCTCCCAACCAAATTATGGGAAACCCATAGGTCGCCATATTCCTTCGGAGGTTATTGCGACCTCTGGGTTTCCCATTATTTTCCCAGCCGGGGTATCGGAAAACCATCGGTCGCCAGACCCCCGAGGGGATTATAGCAACCTATGGGTTTCCCATACTTCTCCAAGCCGAATTATGGGCAACCCATAGGTCGCCAGATTCCCTAGGACATTAGTGCGACCTATCGTATTCTCAAAATTCTCCTAGCTGAATTATGGGAAACCCAAAGGTCGTCAGATCCCCTAGGGGATCCTGGCGACCATTGGGTTTCCCATAGTCCTCCCAGCTGACTTATGGGAAACCCATGGGCCGCCAGATTACCTAGGGGATTCTGGCGACCTACGGTATTCCCATAATTCTCTCAGTTGAATTATGGGCAACCCATAGGTCGCCAGATCACCCAGGGTATTCTGGCGACCTTTGGGTGTCCCATGATCCTCCCAGCCAGCTTGTGGGAAACCCATAGGATGCCAGATTCCCTAGGGCAACCGATGGGTTTACAATAATTCGGAATCAAGTATCCGCCCGCCGCCCCCACGTCGCGAGTGATTCCGGATGCGAATGTCACATGATTGCGCGGCGCCTAGACTTCGGCGAAAATCCGCGGTGCCGCTGGCGCGGGCGAATTATGTGAAACCTACAGGTCGCCAGATTCCCTTAGGGTTTCTGGCGACCTGTTCGTTCCCCACAGTTCAGAGCCCGCCGCCGCGAATTATGGGAAACCCATAGGTCGCCAAATGCCCTTGGGGTTCCTGGCGATCCATGGGTTTCCTCTGATTCTGAACCTGGGTCCCGCTCGCCGCCGCAAATTATGGGAAACCCATCGGTCGCCAGAAGCCCCAAGGGAATCTGGCGACCTATGGGTACAGCTCGCTGCCGCGAATTATTGGAGACCCACAGGTCGCCGTTGTCCCTAAGGGTTTCTGGCGACCTATGGGTTTCCCATAATTCGGGTCCTGGAGTCCGCCCGTCGCCCCCACTTCGCAAACGAATCCGGGTGATGATGTCCCATACTTGCGCGGCATCTAGAATCTATAAAATGTTGCGGGGCCGCTGGCGTGGGCGAATTATTGGAAAGCTACACGTCGCCATATTCCCTAAGAGGTTTCTGGCGACCTATGCGTTTTCCATAATTCTGAACCAGGACCCCGCTCGCCGCCGCGAGTTATGGGAAACCCATAGGTAGCAATTTTCCCTCGGGGTTTCTGGTGATCCATGGGTTCCCCATGGTTCGGAACTTGGATGCCGCTCCGCGCCGCAGCCGCAACCGCAGCCGCAGCTGCCGCTGCAGCCGCTGCCGCAGCTGGAGACCTATGGGTTCCCCATATCTCTCCCAACCGAATTATGGGAAACCCACAGGTCGCCATATTCCCTCGGGGTTTCTGGTTACCTATGGGCCTCCCATAACTCTCACTACAGATGTCTGGGGAACCTTAGGCCGCCAGATTCCCGACGTGTCTCTGGCGACCGATGGGTGTCCCATAATTCGGAACCTGGATCACGCTCGCCGCCGCAGCCGCAGTCGCAGCCGCAGCTGCAGCTGCAGGGGGCAGTCGCCCATCTACGGGTGTCCCACGATTCTGAATTATGTGAAACCCATAGGTTGCCAGATTCCCTAAAGTTTTCTGGCAACCTATGGGTTTCACATAATTCGCAGGGCGGCTGCGGCTGCTGCGGCTGCGCGGCTGCGGCTGCGCGGCTGTGCGACTGCAGCGGCAGTCGTCCATCTACGGGTTCCCCACACTTCCGAATTATGGGGAACCCATACGAGAATATTCCACAACAACACCACCACCAACAACAACAGCAACAACAACAACAACAGGGACAACAACAACAACAACAACAACAATCACTTTACCCGAACGCTCAGTGTTCTCACCAGTGCCAGGGTTTTCATGCGACGCCAGCCAATACCCCCACTTTGTGGGGGGGCAGTGCAAGCTCTACCAAATATCCACACGACTCTTCGCCACCACCCACACCCAGCTTCCCGCCCTATGACGTTCGGACACTTCACTTCGTGGCCTGCGGACGACCGTGGCTACTATTCAGGGCCCCGCGGCCGACGACGACGGCGTGCGCGCGCGAAGAAAAAACGAATGTGTCCCGCATGGTATTATTTGACAGGGATGATGGCCCTGGCAGGTGCGCAACCGTTGTTGCAGAAGTTCGAAAAAGTTGCTCGCAAAAGCCCGTTTGACAGAAATGTTTAAAAAGTGTTGGGTTTCCTACGAATCCGCAAGAGCGCGTGGGATGAGATGTTGACAATTTTGTGTGAAAAACCATTGGTTTTTCGATGTTTTTATGTTAAAATCGCTGCGAACACTAAGGTGTTGGAAGGATTTCGTCTTGCGCGCGCGAATGTCCACTTTACCTTATTTTTTGCAAGGGATTCTTGAAATTTGATTATATTAGAACAAGAAATGTCATTTTCTATTGTTTTTTGCAAGGGAAAGCGGATTACAACAAAACAACCGGATCCTGTACACACCCTCTTTTCTGAGGCTTCCTCACGAAAATGATGAAAATGTAGCTGCGGCCTAGGCGGCGCAGGGGGGGCGCGCACCAGGGGGCCCAACAATAATTATTCTTTAGAATAAATAATGTTCAACAACAACAACAACAACAATCATTTTACCCGAACGCGTGGTGTTCTCCCCAGTGCCAGGGTTTTCATACGACACCAGACAATACCCCCACTTCGTGGGGGGGCATTACAAGCTCTACCAAATATCCAAACGACTCTTCGCGACCACCCAAACCCAGCTTCCCGCCCTATGACGTTGGGACACTTCACTTCGTGGCGTGCGGACGACCGTGGCTACTACACTGGCGTGGGGTACACACCCACAGAACTTGGTCACTTATTCGGGGCGCGCGTGTGCCCAGCATGGTGCAATTGTGCCATACAATACATAATACAGAGAGACAGAGAGAGAGACAGAGAGCAGACAGAGAGAGAGACAGAGAGAGCGGAGTTGGTCACATTTTTGGGCAAGTTCCTGGGATGATGGGGAGGATTCGGACAGCGCGCGCGGGTGGAAATTTTGAAAAGTCGTGCAGCTGTTTTTCGAGGACCTACGGTGCGATTCGTGTGATTTTATGATGCGCGGTGGTAAAAATTCTTAAGAACCCAATGGTTTTTGGAGATTTCGGCGTGCGCGCGCGAAGAAAAAACGAATGTGTCCCGCATGGTATTATTTGACAGGGATGATGGCCCTGGCAGGTGCGCAACCGTTGTTGCAGAAGTTCGAAAAAGTTGCTCGCAAAAGCCCGTTTGACAGAAATGATTAAAAAGTGTTGGGTTTCCTACCTACGAATCCGCAAGAGCGCGCGGGATGAGATTTTGACATTTTTTTGTTGAAAAACCATTGGTTTTTTGATGTTTTTATGTTAAAATCGCTCCGAACACTAAGCTTTTGGAAGGATTTCGTCTTGCGCGCGCGAATGTCCACTTTACCTTATTTTTTGCAAGGGATTCTTGAAATTTGATTATATTAGAACAAGAAATGTCATTTTATAGTGTTTTTTGCAAGGGAAAACGGATTACAACAAAACAACCGGATCTTGATCACATCGTATTACCTGAGGCTTCCTCACGAAAATGATGAAAATGTAGCTGCGGCCTAGGCGGCGCAGGGGGGCCGTGCACCAGGGGTCCCAACAATAATTATTCTTTAGAATTAATAATGTTCAACGACAACGACAACGACAACGACAACAACAATAATACGAACACCAACAACAGCAGCAGCAACAGCAACAGCAACAACAACAACAAGGACAGGGATCTTCCCTGGCCCCCGGCGCTCGGGGACCCTTCCAGAGCTCTCCTCCAGGGGGGGCAGGAAACGTCCACGGTCCCCGGGGTCCCCAACACCCCCCCCCCCGCAGTGATGATGGAGACGGCCCAGCTTCCTATCCGACTACGATCATACCACGAACATACCACGATCATACGACGAACAGAACATCCCCCTAAGAGTTTCTGGCAACCGATAGGTTTCCCATAATTCGGAATTGTGGGAAACCCATAGATGGACGACTGCCTGGGGGGCGGAAGCTATGATACCCATTATGCCCCAAGCAATGAAGGAACAAACTCTCGGCGAAGACGACACCGTTTTTTCCGTCGCTCAATGGAGCAGACGCTCACGTTCGAGATCACGCATTCGCAGGGGGACCAGGCAGGCCGAGGAAGGGGTGAGCGGCAGCGCGGAGAAGACAGGAATGAAGGAAGCAATGGCACAAATCCTCCGACCCAGTCGGCGAGTGTGCGAGGCCCTTCGACAAACACGAAGGCAGGAAGCAACGGCACCCATCCGCCGACCCAGCCGGCGTAGGTGAGAGGCCCTTCGGCGAGAGGCCAGCCCAGCCCCAACTGAAGTACGCCGGCCTCCTTTGAATCGTCGTCGTCGTCGTCGCAAGGGCGATCGAACAAACAAGGGGCATCGAACAGTATCGAAATTACGTCGAAGGGAAAACGCTTCCCTTTGTCCCTTCCCCGCCAGAAGGGGGGGGGTCGGTCCGGGGGGGATCCCGGGGGGCTCCTCCTCCTCCTTCTCCTCCTCCCCCATGTCTCGAGCCTGTGGCAGGGTCATCAGCTCGTCGTTGGCGTTATCGTCGTGGGTCTCGTCGTGGTCGTGGTTATCGTCATGGTCGTGGTCGTGGTCGTGGTCGTGGTCTTGGTTGTGGTCGTGGTCGTCGTCTTGGTCGTGGTCGTGGTCGTGGTCGTGGTCGTGGTCGTGGTCGCGGTCGTCGTCGTGATCGTCGTCGTGATCGTCGTCGTGATCGTCGTCGTGATCGTCGTCGTGATCGTCGTCGTGATCGTCGTCGACCTCGTCTTCCGTCTGGGTCGGCGGCAACGGCCGCAAGGCCTTCACTACAAAAATAATCTCCAACGCGCCACGATGCCTGGCAGACCTGGCACGACCCAGCTGCAGCAACACGAACGCGTACTCTCCGGGCTACGCACGTCGCACGTCCACCGAGAGGCGACCTGTCTGTGCAGACGGCATCCTGCCGCACACGGGCATCTACCGCCCGGTCACGCGCCCGCCACCAGCCGACCGCTCCCAGAGCTCCACAGCTGCTCCTCTAGAGGAACAAAGAGAGGCATAAACATAAACTTGTGGAGTTCCGAGCGGAGCCCTTGGACCGGCGCCGGAGACCCCCTGGCGGTGCCGCCGGCGCCGCCCCTGGCGCGCTCCGCGCGCAAGAGTGGGTCCCAGCGCCAATCCAAGAATTCCGCGCGGAGCTCCGAAAGCTTCTGCAGATGCCTTTCTTTTTGTTGTTACTCCTCGGTCTTCGTGGATGCTGCCGAGGCCTCTCTCGGCTGCCGCAAGAGCGACCCTGGGCAAGAGCGACCGCTGGGGCGCGGCACCCGGGGGTCCCTGGGGGGACCAGATCCAGGCACGCAGTCCTATGCTGAGGTAGCCCCTCCTCCTGGCTTCTTCCTTCACTCTATCTCCTCCCTCTCCTCCTCCTCCTCCTCCTCCTCCTCCGCCCTCCTCCCCCTCCTCCTCCCCCTCCTACTTCCTCCTCCTCCTCCTCCTCCTCCTCCTCCTCCTCCTCCTCTTCCTCCTCTGGGCCCGCACCAGCAAGGTCCCTCCGGCGAAGGACCCCTCCTACGCGCAGCCGCCTCCTCGACCGGCGCGGGGCCCTCGCGAGGCGCCTTCGGCTGCCGAGACGACCCAGGGCTCCAGGCCCCCCCTGGACGGCGCGCTCGCACATCGTCACGCGCCCGCCACCAGCCCCTCGCAAGAGTGACGACTGACGACCTACCAGACCACACCAGCCCGACCCGAAGACCCGAATTTCGGGTTGGGGGGGGTCTCGGGTCCCATTCGTGCTCTTCGAGGTTCCCCGACCCTCCCCCCGCCGCTGGGAACGGAGGGCAAATCGGGGCCTTCGGGATGGGTCGGGGTGGTTTGATGGGTGGTGAAAGCGGGAGCCAGGACGAGGATCAATTCGAGCCAGGATGCATCGAGAATCTCTGACATCGGGCGGCTCTGGAGGATGCATCGAGCGCCGCGGCCTTCTCGGAGCGCCCTGGGCCGCTCTGAGAGAGCGTCCCGGAGCGCTCTGGAACGGCTTCCTCCCTGTCCTGCCCCGCCCGTAGAGGCCTCCCAGATGGGGCCGGAGGAGATGTGGTCGGAGGATCGCGCCGCATCTCCGGTGCATCGGCGATGCACCGGCAACGTCGGTGATGCAGTGGCGACGTCGGCGTGGAGGCACTGGGGCTCCCCATCCAGCCGCATCGCCGATGCACCGGCGCTGCGGCGCGATCCTTCGGCCCCCCTCTGGGAGGCGCCGATGGCCCGACCTCGCCACCGAGGCTCCACGGCCGCTCCTCGTGGATGCTGCCGAGGGGCTTCGCGGCCGCCCCCTCGGCGGGCGCGGGGGCCCCGCCGGCGGCGGCGGCGGCCGAGGTGGCCCGGGGCTCCAGGGCCCCGCGGGCGGCGCGCTCGCGCAGCGCGGCCAGCTCCGCGTCGCGGGTGGCCGCCTGCGCCAGCAGCCCCTCCAGCTCGGCGATGCGCGCGCCCTGCCGACTCGTGCGGGGGCCCAGGGGGCACGCGAGCAGAGAGGCACGACGAGGACGCAGAAGTAGAGAGGCCCCGATCCCCCGGGTTCCGGATCGCTACGATCGTTTCCTCTGGGTGCTCGTCTTGCCCATCCGCTTCCAGTGGCTTCCACATCTTCCGGGGGATCGACGACTCTTTATGCCTGATCGTTCCGATCGTTTCCCCTGGATGCTCGTCTTCCCCATCCGCTGCCAGTGGCTTCCACGGCTTCCGGGGGACCGACGATTCTCTATGCCTGTGCCTGTGCTGTCCTCCCCTCCTGAAGTTTTCGGGAGGTGAGGCTGAAGGGGCCTTGGGACACACAAATAATACACACAAATAATAGGATTCCCCATATTTCCCCATATCTTCTGGGTGTTTGTCTTCCCCCCCACTTCCCATCTTTTCCCATATTGTCCTGGAAATCGACGATTAATTAATTGTGTCTGTGTGTTTTTTCCCCTCCTGAGAGGCGTGAGCTTTTGGAGCTCCGTGCGGACTTCTCGGATCGGCCCTGGGCCCCCCCTCCCTGGCGGCGCCGGAGCGCGCCCGTGGCGGCGCCGGAGGCGCCGCCCGGGAGCCCCAGCGCCGATCCGAGAGATCCGCGAGGAGCTCCGAAGGTTTGCTGCGCTTTGTCTCTTTTCATTGTTGGCGTCGTGGAGAGATGGGCCCTGAGATCCTGGCGTCTCAATCGTTTCGATCTGCGCGCCTTCACCACAGTTCGGGCTGGCTGGCCGTCAGGGATCGAACTGGCCTGGAACGTGGCGCAGAAGGATGGGGTACGTACAGAGCTCTGGTTGTGATTTTTTCTCGAGGTTGTACGGTAGGTTGGCGCGGCGTCGGCGCGCGCAAGAGTTTTTAACGCCGCGTCGATCGACCAACCTTGAACCGATCGCGACCCAATCGCTCTAGGTTGAGGCCCGTCGGGTCCTGTGGCGTTACCGTGCCCTCAGACGACGACGACGACGCCGACGATCCAGAAGGACGACGACAACGAATCAGAAGGACGACGACGACGAAAACTAAGACGGCAACGGCGACGGCGACGGCGACGGCGACGACGACGACTACGACGCCCGATCCAGAAGGACGACAACAGCGACGACGAAACGAAAACTACGACGACAACGACGACAACGACGACGACGACAGCGACGATCCAGAAGGACGACGACGTTGATGACGATCCAGACGGACGACGACGACGACAATCCAGAAGGACGGCGACCACGACAACGACGACGACGATCCAGAAGGACGACGACGACGACGACGGCGATCAAGAAGGACGACGACGACGACGACGATCCAGAAGAACGACGACGACGACGATCAAGAAGGACAACGACGACGGCAACAATCCAGAAGAACGACGACGACGACGATCCAGAAGGATGACGACGACGATCCAGAAGAACGACGACGACGATCCAGAAGGACGACGACGACGATCCAGAAGGACGACGACGACAATCCAGAAGGATGACGACGACGACAACGACGACGATCCAGAAGGACGACGACGACGACAACGTCGATCCAGAATGACGATGATGACGAGAACGACGACGATCCAGAAGGACGACGACGACGACGATCCAGGAGGACGACGACGACAATCCAGAAGGACGACGACGACGACGAGCCAGAAGGACGACGACGACGACGATCCAGAAGGACGACGAAGACGATCCAGAAGAACGACGACGATCCAGAAGGACGACGAATACGACGACGACGATCCAGAAGGACGACGACGACGATGGTCCTGACGGACAACGACGATGACGACGACGACGACGATCCAGAAGGACGACGACGAATACGACAACGTCGATCCAGGAGGACGACGACGACAATGACGACGACGAGGACGATCCAGAAGGACGACGACGACGACGACGACCCAGAAGGACGACGACGACGACAACGACGATCCAGAAGGACGACGACGACGATCCAGAAGGACGATGACGAATACGACGACGACGATCCAGAAGGATGACGACGACGACGATCCAGAAGGACGACGACGACGATGCAGAAGAACGACGACGACGACGATCCAGAAGGACGACGACGACGTCGTCGACGATTCAGAAGAGGACGACGACGACCATCCAGACGGACGACGACGACGATCCAGAAGGACGACGACGACGATGACGACGATCCGAAAGCACGACGACGACGACGATCCAGAAGAACGACGACGACGACCCAGAAGGACGACGACGACGACGATCCAGAAGGACGACGACGACGATGGTCCTGAAGGACGACGACGACGATCCAGAAGGACGACGACGACGACGAAGCAGAAGGACGACGACGACGACGACGATCCAGAAGGACGACGACGACGATCCAGAAGGACGACGACGACGATCCAGAAGGACGACGACGACGACGACGATCCAGAAGGACGACGACGACGACGACGCCGACGACCCAGAAGGGCGACGACGAAGACGACGAAGCAGATGGAAAACCCCGCACCGAAGGTCACCCCGGCCAGGGCCCACTCTTACGCGAAGCCGGTTCACCTGGGGGAAACCACTGGCGGCGCGCATGCGGGGGTTGGGGGGGAGGGGGCAGGCTTCTTAGATGGAGGCTGCTTCCCAGCAGGCGCTGGCCCTACATCTGCAGATGAGGCCCGCGGCTCCCAAGAGGCAGGAGTGCTTCTAAGAGGCCTTCCCCCGTCCCCCCACTCACCTCTGCGCGTGGCCAAAACCAGAGGATATCGATACCGTTGCAGTCTGGCCTGTCCTCCTACAGGGGGGTTTTGGACGAAAAGTACAAGATAGGCAAACAAGGCCCCCAAAATGTCAAAGAATACTCAAAACATCGTCCTCATACTATTTTTGACTATATGTTTGCATATCCCTCCTGTAGAGGGACAGGCCCGACTTAACGGTACCGCTGCTCCCTGGGCCTCTCCTGGGGTGCGTTCTGGCCCAACTCTCGAGGCGAATCTGGCCGTGGCGACGACGCCCAGGAGGCTCAGGAAGGCGAGCACGAGCGAAGGGTGCCGTCATGGGTAGCCGATCCCTCCAAAGCCTCTCAAAATCGGTCCTCGTGTCCTGGGGTCCATCTGGCGAAGCCTGTCGCCCAGGATCCGTTTTCGACGGTCCCAGTGCCCTAGGAATCTGGCACCAGAGGCCGGAACATGCGGAAAGATGAAGCCCCCCCCCTCCGAAACAAAAAAACAACCAAACAATTTCGAACCCAGAACCTCGAACCTCTTCCCCCTCCCCCCATGTAAACCCGGTCAGTGAGGCCTTGCAGGAGCCTGCAAGCTCCTGCAGGAACCTGCACGATGCTGCACCCAAAATCCGGGTCAATGCATTCCTGGCCCTGCAAGATGCTGCAAGATCTGGCGCCCTCGCTGACCCCCGTTTGCATCGATCCCCGTCTCCTAAACTCCAACTCCCCGAAGACGGCTCCCAGAGGCCGGAAAATGCAAAAGCCAGAGGGAAACCAAAAGAAAACAGAACACATCAAAGAATGCTCGAACACAGAACCTCGAACCTCGAACTTATTCCTCCTCCTCCTCCTCCTCCTCATCATCATCATCCTCGCTCCTTCCCTCCTCCTCGCTCCTCCTCCTCCTTCTCGCTCCTCGCTCATCGCTCCTCCTCGCTCGCCTTGGTCCTTTGGTGACGGGGCTCATCCCCTCGCTCCGCGTTCTCGTCCTCGTCTCTCCTCGCTCCTCCTCGGCTCCTCCTCGCTCCTCTCGCTCCTCGCTCCTGCTCCTCGTCCTCCTCCTCCTCCTCCTCCTCCTCCTCTCCTCCTCCTCCTCCTCCTCCCTCCTCCTTCGCTCCTTCCCCTCCTCCTCCTCCTCCTCCTCCTCCTCCTCCGCTCCTCCTAATCCCCTCCTCCTCCTCCTCCTCCTCTTCCTCCTCCTCCCTCCTCCTCCTCCTCCTCCTGCCTCATCCTCCTCTTCCTCCTCCTCTCCTCCTCTCCTCCTCCTCCTCCTCCTCCTCCTCCTCCTCCCCTCCTCGCTCCTCCCTCCTTCTACCCGCCTGAGCCGTCGGGCTCCCAGCGCTCCTGTTAAGCGCTCCCAGGGACGCGCCGCCCTCGAGCGCAGGCGCCCGCCGCGCCCTCACCGCGCCCCGCCGCCGCGTCCGGTTTGCCCGCCCGCCGCCCGCGGGCCTCCATCCACGGAGGGCTTGCCCCAGTCCAGCGGCGCCTCGGGCTCGACTCGCGCGGCCAGAGGAGGCAGTGGCTGGGGGCGATAGTTAGCGGGGGGAGGGGGGATGGGAAGGGAGGAGGAGGAGGAGGAGGATGGGAGGAGAGAGGAGGAGGAGGCGGAGGAGGAGAGGAACGTGAGAGGAGGAGGAGGAGGGGAGGAGGGGAGGGAGAGGAGGAGGGGGAGGAGAGGGGAGGGGGAGGGGGGAGGGGAGGAGAGGGGGAGGGAAGGGGAGGGGGAGGGGAGGGGGAGGGGGAGGGGAGGAGGAGGAGGAGGGAGAGGAGGAGGAGGAGGAGGAGGAGGAGGAGGAGGAGGAGGAGGAGGAGGAGGAGCAGACGGAGGAGGAGGAGGAGGAGGCGGACGACGACGACGACGACGACGACGACGACGACGACGACGACGACGACGGCGACGACGACGACGAGGACGACGACGAGGACGACGACGACGAGGGCGACGGCGGCGACGGCGGCTCCTGCCGCAACTCGGCGGCCTCTGCACGAGGCCCGATGTGGCGGTTTCCGGTGGTCCTTGGGAGGCCCACTCTGGTCATGCCAAAGGCACGACGGGAGGTCCCTCGCTGTTTTCGGCCTCGGAGGGCCCTCGAGGGGCCTCGGGGCCGTCGAACAACGACTCGGGATGAGAAAGACAGCCTCCAGGAAAGGGTCCAGACCTCTGTGGGCCCCTGAAGACCTCGGGGCCGTCGAGAAACGACTCGAGATACAGAAAAACGGTCCCCTGGAAGGAGTCCGGACCTCTGAGGGCCCCCGCTGTGAAGAGATCGTGGCGCCGGGGGTCTGGGCAGCGCGTGCGGTGGGGCCGGCGTGAGCTGCCTGACCACGGCGGGCCCTCGGATGCCGCCCTGGGCGGTAACGTGAGGGCCTTCGCGGGCCGCGGCGTGCTGTCGGTGGAGCGGAGCGGGGCAGGTTGGGAGGCAACTACTGGGAGGTCTCCGTGGGAAGGAGTAGGGAGGATTAAGCCCCGCTGGGGGGGGCTGTCACGCAAGAGTGGGCCTCGGATGAAGCGGGAGCAAGCCAGAGTAAGCTGGAGTAAGCGGGATAAGCCGGATTAAGCAGGATTAAGCCAGATTATGCCGGATTTCGGACCAGGGCGAAATCAGAATTTGACTTCCCAGGATTTGCATCCGAGGGCAGGCACGCATTGGTCTGCCACACGTGCTGAGGATCATCGGCTCGCAAAGCACGCCGAAGCCGGGGTCCTTCCTGGATGGCACCACGTGGTCCGCTCATGGCCGGCCCTTCATCCCAGGCCGTTCTGCTGACGATCCTGACTTTGGGCACTGGTACAGAAAAATGGGCACGATACCAAACAACGGGTATTGCCCAACATCGATAGCGGCCGCTGCTGGGCAAGCGGCCGTCTGTTGAGCAGGGACCGACCGTCCCAGCATTCCTACAGGCTCACCATCTTAAAATCAAGCATGCTCTAAGAGCAAACAGTTTTCGTAGATCATACGCAAACCAGATGTATGAAAAAAGGCTGCCTCAGCCAAACATGTTCCAATAAGAGTTCGTGCAAACCACAACAAAGTTCTTAGAACATTCTTTGGTGGGCCTGTAGGCAAGCCGAGACTCTTCGCCACTGCTTGAGTCTGCTCCACATGGAGAACGTCCGCGGCGGCGCCGGCAGCGAATGCTGCTCCGAATGGGCAGGCCGTGCCTTCGGCTTCGCAACCTCTCAGCGCCCCTCAAACGGGGACTCCACTAACGGGTACTTTGGCCAGTGACCCAGCGAACCCAACCCTTCCCGATGTGGGCAAAGCTGCAATGCAAGAAAGAGGCCCTAAAGTGGCAACTTTCGGCAAAAATGCAAAGTACCCGTTAGTAAGTACCCGTTACGGTGCCGTTGAACCTCTCTCTCCGCACGCGTGCCGATCGCACCGAGCCAAGAGGCCGAACTCGGAGCAGGGCGGTCGGAGGCACCAGGAGCTCACACTCGGCCCCCATGATGGGCCTGTTTTCCACCACCACCACTATAAGTTGGAGGGGGGGAAGAGGTGGAGGAGGAGGAGGAGGAGGAGGAGGAGCCCCTCCCCGTCCAACTTATGGTGGTGGTGGTGGAAAACAGGCCCATCACCCCAGACCCCTCCTGGGGTCCACACGCGCACCCAGTCTGCCGCGCTGCGCCCAGCCGCGGCGACGGGGAGGCCCCCAGAAGAAAACAGTTTCCAGTGTCTCGAACGGCCCTCCTCTGACAAACCGCCTGCGATGTCCTCCCTCCTCCTCCTCCTCCTTCTCCTCCTCCCTGATAACAGCGACGTCAAAACGCACGACTTGTTAACCACGTTTCTCGGCCCGCCGCCAGAGGACTACCCGAATGGGCACGCAGACCGCCGTGGCTGCGCGCGGGCCTGGGGGCGCGGTGAGAACCCCGAGCCGAATGCTGCTACAGGCATGCACGTAAAACAAATAAGCAAAATGACATGCTAAAAGAAAAGCAAGACCACCGATCGCAGCTTACAAAGTGAGGCAAGTACACGGTAATGATATAAAGACTAACTAATCTACTGAAAAGAAGCATGTTCGTCACGAGTAGGTGGGTTGTCCGTGACTATAACCATCCAACCAAAATAATACACAATTTCAGAATAATAACACCAGGACCAAAAAAAAAATTACCAAAACCTACCAAAAAGTCAAAAACCACCACATACACAAGCACCACATGGAAGACACAACCATGAGCATGCACTACCAATTCATATGATGCAACGACCAGCCACATCTCAATAGTGTTACCATACAAAACAGAACAAAAAAATTAGAAAAAGGAATAATGCAGACACTCACAAGCCGTCAGTCTGGTCAACAAAACTTGACGGGCTGATCTTTCACCACCACTACCGTGGGCAGGAGAGGGAGGAGGAGGAGAGGGAGGAGGAGGAGGAGAGGGAGGAGGAGGAGGAGGAGGAGGATCTGATCTGATCTGAACCGCTGGGGACGTTGTCAAGCTATCAGTCAAAGGCCTACCAGAGCAGGCTCACCCTGGATAAAACACATCCCTGCGACGGCAGCGTGGCCGTGAAAACATCCGTGATTTTGAAACGAGAGGCCTCCGCAGGAGGGAGGGCCCCCGTCGGGCCCCGAGGCAAGCCCCTGTGGGGAGGGATTGCCCTCCAAGGGGTGCCTGCGGGCACCAGTAGACTAGTTTCCTGCACGGCGACGCGACGGGACCCCCTCTTCGGAGGCGGTCGGGCGCGCCTGACCTCGGCCACCGAGTCGTCGCGTCCAACTGCGCGATCTGCGGCGGCGGCCGAGAGCCTGTCAGCCTCTCCCTCCCGCCCGCCTCCGACCCACCCACACTCCCCACAAACCGATCTCCTCCAGTGGCACGGATGTCTCGGACGAGACCTCTAGACACGAGAGCGGCGAGGCGAGCAGACGAGGCAAGCATCGGGGGAAGCTGGAGCGGGGAGGGTTGAGAGGGCGACGAGGTACCCAAGAAGGAGGAAGAGGAGGAAAAGCTAGGTGCGGCGGCAGCGGCAGCGTCACCCGCCTCAGGAGTAGCTGTACTCGACGCGGTAGCTCCCACTGAGAATCTGCTGGAATCAGAGCCATTCAAAACCTGAGGTATCTGTGGCAACTGCGAAGTTGATGTCCGAATACCACCAAAAGGCACGGCCACAGAAGGTCCAGCAGAATCAGAGCCATTCAAACTTTGAGGTATCGTAGGCAACTGCGAGGAGGGTGTTGGAATACCACCAGAAAGCACAGCCACAGATTCACGCACCGAATCAGAGCCATTCAAAAACGGAGGTATCGTAGGCAACTGCGAAGTGGATGTTGCCATACCACCAGATGATGCAGCCATAGATTCACCAGCCGAATCACAGAAGCCACTCAACAACTGGGGTATCGGCGATGTGGAGTTCATGATCTCGCCGTTCCAGTCCACTACTTCGAACGTGAAAGCCACTTCTGGATTGCCCTCTCGCCCTGGCTCCGCGGCGCGGACCCGACCAGCTTCTGCGCGTTCAGCTCGCACAGCGTGCGGTAGATCAGGGTGCTGAGCTTGCGACCGCCCTCCGTGTCCGTGAGGATGTGAAGGCGCAGCTTGACCATCTTCTCCATGCGCTTGCTCTTCTCGCCCCGGGGCTGCTGGAACGACATCGTGCGGACCATCATGGCGAGCTCGGCGGGCGTCTTGTCCTTGATGTGCGTCTGCCAGAACGCCTCCACCTCCTCCTTGTGAATCCCCGTCGCGGCCTGCTTGCGGATCTCCGACATCACGAGAAAGAAGACGACCAAGAACGGCGGGCCGAGGCTCGAGGTGTCGACCTGCGGGTCTGAGGCGGCCTTGGCTTTGAGGTCGGCGGCGGCCTTGGTGTACTGCGCGTTCGCTAGCAGGCCTGCCTTGGCCAGCCACGTCTCCTCGGCCAGAAGAAAGGTGTCGTTTACGTTGGCCTCGAGATCGGCGATGGCTCGGGAGTTGGCCAAGGTCTGGCGCGCCACCCACTTGAAGGTCGCCATGTCGATGCCGTCCGTCGCGTCCGTGTGACCTCGACCGCGCCCGTCGCCGCTTCCACGGCCCCCTCCCGCACCCCCAGTCGCGACGACCAACGTCTTCGAGGCCTGTCCGCCATCGCCCTCGCCCTTGCGCTTGCCCAGTGGGAACAGCCACGCGGGGGCGTCGTGGATTTCCAGCTCCATGGCCTCGGACATCACAAACCTCGGGCTGGGCAGGTAGGTGTAGCTGAGCGTGAAGGTTACACTCAGCCAGCGTCAGGAAACTTGAGCCGCAGACTCGACACGCAAGATCCTCAGGGGGCTGCACCTCTCGAAGGGTCGTCGCCTTACCTTTCAGGCACCTGCCGTGGAGGATGGACCCGTGCAGGTGTTTTTGCGCAGTTTTTCGGTCCCAGAAGGTCTCCTGGCAGACGATGCATTGATTACATTTGGTAAGGGCCTGAGAGAGTTTGACGGTCCCGTGGATGCGCCTGATGTGGTTCACGAGCCCAGACCTGGAGGAAAACGACGACGTGCACGAGGGCCAGGGACAGGTATGTGGGAACTCTGTGTTCAGGGCCGCCGCTTCGAGGGCCTCAAAATCCTCAATGACTCCAGGGGGAGGTACTTCGAGGGTCTGGGCTGCGCTACGAAGAATACCCACATCAACCTGAACAAAATCACGAGCATTCTCAAACTCGAATAGCTTAATGATAGAGCCCCCGACCCGCTCCCAGATCCCATGTGCGTCTCCACTCCATTGAGCAAGGGTGATGAGATCGTCCTGAAGCCGTTTAGCCCAAGGATTTGCCTCCGAGTGTATCGTCCCCTGGTCCGTGAACACCCCCTCCCCGTTCATGTTGCCTAGCATAGCGGCTAAATATTGAACATGCGCATGTGGTCGTTTTAGGCATGCCTGAAACCAGCGAAGACGCCGAACTTGGAGTTCAATCGATATAGGTACTAGCCTCCACCATTCAAGAACCTGCCTCGAAGTAAGCGATCGACGACGACCAAATGCATCCTCCCAGCTAGCCTCGCCTCGCATAGCCTTCCGAGCGAGTGCAGCAATGGCGAACTCCAGGGTCCTGATCTGCTGGGGGCTGGGGAGGAAGGGCTCGACACCAGACAACGCAGTATTGACGATGTGGCACGGCAAGACGCACCGCTTCCACCGAACTGGAACTCCCTTCTGAAACCAGAACCGTCCAAGCCTATAGAACGAAGACTTCATGGCAGCAATACGTCGAGTAAGTTCCGAGCTAAAACTTTGGGTCGGCGTGATATGAGGGCCCAAATATCGGACAGCGTCGCCAATCTTGGTGTCCCGAGCTTTCAACACCGCAGCTGCGCCTCGCCGACAGCTAGGGGGCACCGACACGATCGCCTCTTGCTTTTTCTGGTTACGGCGGACTCCTATACCATGAAGCTCTTCGTCCAGGACTCGATCATTATGGTCTAGCTTCTGCCCCATCTGATAAGGGTTGAAAGGAGGGCCAAGCACGATCTTTTTCAGCAAGTCATCAGCGAACTTCTGCAGTCCAAGGTACACTGGTGAGGATGTGAGCCCAAGCTCTGATGGAAGTGTAGCCCACAAGAGCTTCTCGCCAGGATCATCAGTTTGACAACGGTCAATCCACCTGTCGATCGGCGGCTTAAAGACACGAACAAAACTGGCCACAGCAAACGGATCTCCCTGCAGCGCTCCACACCCAGGCTTGATGAGGACTGAGCCCTCGGATGAGGGTAACATGCGCCCGGCCGTGCGATACCTTTGGCGACAGAAACGACGATCAGCAGGTTGAGCAAGCGTGGTGCAAGCACTGTCCATGGATGACCATTTCGGCGACGCAAACGCATTCGAGAGGTCCTTCAAGGAATCGCACCAATGAACACCTATCTTCGTGAGCCTCCAGCCCGTGATCATGCAGGCCGCAATCGCGTCCTCCCGCCTCCGATGCCTCAAGAACCCATGGTCGCAGTGAGAGTTCTGGAACTGGGGCCCCACCTTGAGGATGCCAGCGAGAAAGCCCTTTCCAAGAGGATCCAGCCCATGAACCACCCGTTTTCCCCTGGGACCAGCGATAGCGGCTTTAGGTATGGCGAAGCCTTGACTTACGTTCCACAGCTTGGGCAGCACGCCCCAGGCACGAATAGACGCTAGAACCCGATGCAAGAGGAGCTTAGCGAACTGGCCGTCCGTCTGCCTAAAATCCGAGCCAAGTCCAGCCCGAGACACTTCAGCACGATGAGCGGTGGGCTTACCTATGCACATATGCCATAACTCAAGAGGCAAGGACCACACTGGAACTCCCCGTCGCTTCGGAGCCCGAGCAACATACTTCTGAAGCAATTCCAGATCCAGAAGGGCCCGTGAACAAGCAGCGTTGGCACTACTATCATTGACCCCTCCAGGTGTGAGCAGCGCGTCCTGATGCCTACACATGGCCTCCCAGTCCCCCTGGACAGCCTGCATACCTCCATCTCCTCCCTCTTGCTCCCACACCTCCATCCACTGCGCTGGCGTAGGCAGAGCACCGTCAAGCTTATGCAAGTCACGCTTGGCACGTCCAAAACGACTGCCCGCAATTCTGAGCGAAAGACGATGAACAAGAGAGAGATCACGAGCACGCCATGCATCCCATAGCTCTTGCACAAGCTGATCATTTCGTGCCGTACGTCGTCGTCGATACAATGATTTGCATTGCTTAGTGAGTTCACGCAACCGTTCACAGCATCGTTCAAAGTCTTCAGAATCACCTAGCTCATTACGTAATCGTCGACGTTCAGCTAACAGTGC